TAAAATTTAAGACCGAACGACCCCCATCTACGACTGTCAATGGTGGCCGACGGAGCCGATGGTGGCATCCAACCAACTTCTGTTTTTATTTTATAGTTAGGTGAGCTAAATAGGAGCGAGAGTAAAGTTCAGTGAGGAACGGTGTAATTTACCCTTTATATTTTCAATTATTTATATTAAATAATAATAAAAATTATATGTCATCACACCGTCATAGAGTTAATTACAGAGTTAGTAAAATGATTCAACATGTAAAGTTTAGTGAGTAAAATAGAAAAATTGAAAGTACGCCAAGTAAAATAGAAGAGAAAGTAAAGTTTAGTGAGGAACGACGTAATTTACCCTTATTTTCACTCTTAAGTCGTAAAAAATAACATAACTCTCTTCTCTGTCTCATCTGGGATAGATACAACCTGATCGATTGTCGTTCATCGGTGTTGGCTACCACCATCGATGGTGGCTGGAAAAGATCTAAACCCATTGGAGTGTTCATCTTTTTTCTAAACTCAAACTACTTTTATCCTAAAATAACTCCAAAGCCTTAGATCTAACAAAAGAAGCCAAAGAATATATCTCTCGTCACCGTTAATCCTAAGCCCTCGTCAAAATATGTTGTTCCCCACCTACCAGTGAAAGTTTTGACCAAATAATTTCTCGATCTAAGGCCTAAAACGAAAGGTAAACGGTTGTTTTTCTAATATTTTTTTGAGTTTTCTTGTGTAACGCCTTGATTTTTGGGTTAAAAGTTTTGGGCTAACCCGAGAGTGATTTAGATGAATCCATTAAGCTTGTGAGAAACTCATGTCCAAATATAGAGTAGTTGGGCATGTATAGAGCCCATTAAGGTGTAACATGGGGTGTTTTTTAAAGAATGATGAATGAGGAAGAACCAAAAGAGAAGTTAACCCCTAAACTTTTTGAAAGCTAAAATCTCATTAAAATTGGAGAAGTTAACCCGAGAGGGATTTACATCAAATGGATGTAAAAATTGTATTTCTGATTGGAGATCTAGATGAGGAAATCTATATGGAGCAACCTCTTGGCTTCGAGGCGCCTGGCATGGAAGGCAAAGTGTATAGACTGAAAAGGTCACTTTATGGCCTGAAGCAAGCTCTTAAACAGTGATATGACAAATTTCACAAAACTATCCTGAGTTTTGGTTTGTTGTGAATAGTTTGGATGCATGCGTGTATTCGAGGATGTTTAGTACTAATTGCGTCATCATAAGTTTATATGTTGATGATATATTGATTTTCAGAACTAACATTGAGTCCATTAACAAAACAAAGAATTTTTTGTCTACTAAATTTAATATGACCGATTTGGGAGAAGCCGATGTAATCTTAGGGTTAAAGTTACCAAAATTGAAAAGGGATTTTCTTTAAATCAAACACATTACATTGAGAAAATGTTAAAGAAGTTTGACAGTTTTGATGTCGTCCCAGTTCGAACCCCTTATGACCCTAGCATGCATCTCTTTAAAAATAAAGGAAGTAATGTTTCCCAAACCGAATATGCTAAAATAATTGAAAGCCTAATGTTCTTAATGAGTTATACTAGGCCTAATATTTCCTACGTTGTGAGCAGACTTAGTAGATAACTCATAATTCAAGTGGTAAACATTGGGTTGCTCTTCGATGATTACTTAATTATCTTAAGGGTACGATGGATTGGAAACTTGAGTTTATTGGCTATACTGCATTTTTAGAAGGATATTGTGATGTTAACTAGGTTTCTGGTAATGATGAGGTAAGCTCTACGAGAAGGTATGTGTTTACTTTAGGTGGAGCATCGATCTCGTGGAAATCAACGAAGAAAACATGTATTGCTCGTTCCACTATGGAGTCAGAGTTTATAGCTCTTGATTTAGCTGGGCAAGAAGCTGAACGGCTCAGAAATTTATTAGTTGGAATTCCATTATAGGGAAGATTGACTCCTCTAGTCTCCTTACTGTGTGATTCACAATCTGCGATATGTATGGCTAAGAACCAAGCTTACAATGATAAGAAAATACACATTCATATAAGAAATGAATCGGTTATACACTTAATAAGGAATGGAGTACTCTCTTTATAGTATGTGAAGTAGAAAATGAACCTAGAAGATCCACTTACCAAAGGGTTAAGCAGGAAACTGGTCATAAATTCGTCGAAAGGGATAAGTTTAAAGCACATTGGTTAAGGAATTCATGGTGGATACCCAACTTAATTATCTAAGTTCAATGTGGTCAAACGAAACCACGGAAAGACTCGTAGTGTACATTTCTACCTACCTATCCCTATGACGAATAATGTACATACATATTATGAGTGCACATGATAAGCTTGATTGCTCTTAATAAATTCATAACCTAAGTTTTGGGTGGTCTTAGTGAGAATGACTTGATCAATTTACAAAATTTGGTTGAATATTTATTCTTAATAAGTTCGTAACCCAGTATTGAGCGGGTAGTCCTAATTGAGAAAGACAAGATGAACTTACTGCTGAAAAGGTTGAGTTTTATGAAAACTCTTAACGAATTCAAATCCAAGAGTTTGGATGGTCCTAATGAGAATGACATATTGAATTCATCGATTAATGAGGTTGAATATTTATTTTTAATGATTTAATATCCCATAGTATAGGTGGTTCATTTATAATGAACTTGAAGAAAATCACCATAACCTATGAGAGGTTGAGATGTTCTAAAAGGCTCTTAATTATTTCATAGCTCGATATTAGGGTAGTTTATGTTGAGATAAATCTGGTGAGTTAACCTACGTAAGTGAGAAGGATTAGTCACCTTCTATGAAAAAAATTGGGTCATTTTTCTAATACACTTACTAGAATCCAGAGGTAAGATGGCCAAATATACACATGTATATAAATCTGACACATCAAGGACTTTGGTGGATAAAGGGGTTAATTGTGTGTTATGAGTTTACATTATCTTAGAAAGTTCAATACTAGTTTCACTTATCTAAGAGAAAATTTGTTCATCATCACCATGTATTAGTTCAAGATACGTTCACTACTACTTAAGCAATTAATTCTGCTATTGCTCTTTTGAGAAGATTTTTCGAGTTTCAGAAGAATTCTTTCGCATTAACAGGGAATGTTGGTAATGCGTAAAACACTAACCCACATTGAGTGGAAAATACCACTAGGATTGGATATTTATAGTGTTCACTCTTCCTTCCTTTGTTGAGTGATAGAGAACAAGGGATAATCTCGCGCGTCGTCGCCGCCGCTGTCTGTCAGTCTCGATTTCTGAAAAGTTAAAATTTGAACTCTCAGTTTCCGAAATTATGTTTATGAAACGTTGGATGTATCTAGACAATATTTCAACTTTGTTCAGAGTGTTTATTGTGTCAGTCACATAGTAATTACACGAGTTACAAACAGTTGAGAATTAAAGGACGAATCTGGACTGCTTTAAGATTAGATTCATTCGTTTATAACAATAGTTTCAGACAGAGTTTAAATTCAGAAATTAATCATATTTATATATGATTTTGTTTTGGATGATTTTACCCCGATGCTAAGCCTGTAAATAGAAAGGCTTTCTAAGCTTCTCAACTTACTCTCAACTCTCACATATCCTCTCAACCTAAAGCACTTAAAGCTTCTTTTCTCTTAAGTTATCAGAAAAGCAGTACCACCGACAATCTTCTCCAATTTCGGTTGTACGAATTCTCGGAGCAACCGTGTCAACCTCGGGGGACAATCCGCCTGTTGCAAAGATTACACACATCGGGCTGAATTTGTTTTTAAGGCATTGGTTTTCACCACGACACAATTTCGGTTGTTCATATGTGTCATTGCTAACGTCTCTATATTTCCAACAATTTTGACATCGTCCCGTATAATAATTCATAACCAAAAGCACGCTATCTTAACCAGGGTTACCTTGTGGATGAAACACGACGATCGATACAGGAGACCAGAACATGGGAAAGCTTAGACAAATGGAAGCAGGGTTACTTTTAAATGGAAATTATCATTATTCATATTATTCCTAATTAAACATGAATTTATATTTAAAGAAAATCCAATTAAGTTGAACTTTCTACAATTGAAGGATGGCCTTAAAAAGATACAGCTAATGAAATGAAAGTAAAAAAATAAAGTGACAGATTCATCGAGGATTTAGCCAACGTAAATGGTAATCACAGCTAATGCTCTCTAATCAATTTATTATCATTTCAAACTCAAAATGGGATTATACAAAGATTGATCTCAATTTCACACCAATGATACTTATGAATTACTGAATTAATTTAAATTCTATACTTACCAGAAGGTTGACGTGCACTTATTTCAAATTATGTATTAATAATAAACACATATTTGTTAAAAATTGTAATATTTTTGTATGAATCAATGGTTAAAGGAATTGTTGTTATTCCCGGAGGTCCTAGATTCGAACACCAGAGATTAATATGTATATGAGGGTTTATTATTAACTAGTTGAGAGTCTTTAGAATATATATCACCAGTTGTAATCCCCTAGATTAATAAAAGATAACAATTATAATATTTTGATAACTTAAAAGTGGGAAGGTTGAATAATGATAGAATTTTGTTGAATATTTCATTAACACCCATGCTAAGAATTCTATAGAAAATAAAACTGATTATCAAAAGTATCATTATTCTATAAAAATTCTAATACAAATAAATTAAATTATAAATAAACAATCTTAATACAATACAATTATCAATCAAAATTTAAATCAGTACATTCTATCTTTATCTAAAAATAATACCAGTATATATTTTTACAAAATTAATTAATTTGGGAAATATTTCCCGAAAGAGAGAATTTGATATATACAAGGAATATAATGAATAGGAGTGTTAATTCCGAGAAGAGAGAATTTCGTGTGACATCTAAAAATCCATACAAGGAACAAACACTAACACTATCACAGTGTAGGCGCGAATTGAATCCCGATTCTATCAGATTCCTTCCCCATTGAACGTATCGCTGTGCCACCCCACCCTGTAACCGTCACCACTATAAAATCTCTCAGCCTTTGGATCATCTCTATCGCTCACATTTACCTGGATTTTCCCAATATTCTCTCGGATTTTTCAACACTTGGGATCTCCGCCGATTCCACTTTCTGAGAGAGAGAGGCCGCCATGGACAGGGAGAGTTCAAGAAACCAACATGAAGAACAAGTGTGGGAAACGCCGGCCATTGATGATGATAATCAATCGGCCGATAAAGTCTTGGTGGAGGCTGCTTTCAAGTCGACGCCGGTACCGCCGTGGACCCAGCAGATAACGTTGAGGTCTATGGTGACTAGCCTTATTCTGAGTTTGGTATTCAACTTTATTGTCTGTAAGCTTAATCTCACCACCGGTGTTATACCATCACTCAATGTGGCCGCCGGATTGTTGGGTTTCGCCGTCATCAAAGCATGGACCACCACTCTCGCAAAGGCTGGACTTTTGAAACATCCCTTCACTAGGCAAGAAAATACCGTCATCCAAACATGTGTCGTCGCCTCATCGGGAATTGCATTCAGCAGTAGTCATTTAAAACCCAGATCTTTTATTTTATTTCATTTCATTTTTGCTGTTGTTTACTGTTACATTTGTGTCTTATTTTATAGGTGGCACTGCAAGTTACTTGTTGGGGATGAGCCCCTATGTAGCAAGTCAAGGAGGCAGTGGAAATATGCCAGAGAATGTGAAGAAACTCTCTGTTGGTTGGATGATTGGTTTTCTCTTTGTTGTTAGCTTTGTTGGGTTGTTCTCCATTGTTCCCCTCAGAAAGGTTATTTCCTCTCTTTCTTTCCTTCGTCTCTCAAAATATTTGGCTATAATTCACATACATATTGTCAAAATAATGATTCAGAACATGCATTAAAATAACTATTTGAATCTTCTTTGTATATTACAACAGATAATGATCCTGAAATACAAGTTAACATATCCTAGTGGGACTGCAACTGCATATCTTATCAACAGTTTCCATACCCCCAAAGGTGCAAAGTTAGCAAAGTAAGTGTAATTTGATCACATCTCTTTGAATTTGCCTTTCTTAATCATCATTCATTGGTCTTGATTATGAATTGCTATTGCAGGAAACAAGTTCTTGTTCTCTTTAAAAGCTTTGCCTTTAGCTTTGTGTTTGCCTTTTTCCAATGGTTTTACACCGCTCTTGATGGATGTGGATTTTCTAGCTTTCCTACTTTTGGCCTCCAAGCGTACAAACAAAAGTATGTTGGTTTATTTTAATTTAGTATCTATCGAGTTAATTGTTATTGGCTTTTAACTTTTTTTAACTAGTGACCGACTAGATTGATTACATGATATCTTTTTCTTAAAGGTTTTACTTTGATTTTTCATCAACATATGTTGGTGTGGGGATGATTTGTCCATATATGGTGAATGTTTCTTTGCTTGTCGGAGCCATCATCTCTTGGGTATTCATGTGGCCAGCGATTGAGAACAAGAAAGGCGATTGGTATAGTGCTGATCTACCGTCAAGTAGTCTCCATGGTCTTCAAGGATATAAGGTATATGTATCAGCAGTTTTTGACTTATTAGCCAATGTTTATTTAGCATCCTCGGATTTATTTTTGTTGGTCTTAACAGGTGTTTATTGCTATTGCTATGATGCTTGGGGATGGTTTATACCATGTTGTCTTCATGTTAATCAAAACTATTCTCAGCCTAATTGCTAACTCTAGAAAGGACTCGTCTATTGTTGACCCTGCTGGTGCTGATGCTCAGACGGTAGACTACGATGAAGTTAGACGAACTGAGTTCTTCCTAAAAGATCAGATTCCGAATAAGGTAGCCATTGCTGGCTATGTTGCCCTTGCGATCGTATCCATAATTGCTGTCCCCTTCATCTTCCACCAACTAAAATGGTATCACATTTTAGTTGCCTACATCATTGCCCCAGTATTGGCCTTTTGCAATGCTTATGGTTGTGGTCTCACTGACTGGTCTCTAGCCTCCAACTATGGAAAATTGGCCATTATCATTTTCAGCTCGTGGGTTGGCCTTGAACACGGTGGTGTCATTGCCGGTCTTGCATCATGCGGTGTGATGATGAGCATTGTTTCTACAGCCTCTGATCTGATGCAGGACTTCAAAACAGGATACCTTACCCTGTCATCTCCCCGCTCTATGTTTTTCAGCCAAGTAATTGGGACTGCAATGGGTTGTGTCCTGACACCATTGGTCTTTTGGTTCTTCTATAAGTCTTACAATATCGGTGACCCTGACGGCACCTATCCGGCACCTTATGGTCTCTTATACCGTGGAATTGCACTTCTCGGTGTCGAAGGCATCTCTTCCCTCCCCAAAAACTGTCTTAATCTTGTCATCGCATTCTTTCTTATCGGATTTGCCATAAACTTGATTCAAGAGCTGTTGAGGCGTTATGAGACGAGATTCGGGATTTATAGGTTCATTCCAAGTCCCATGTGCATGGCTATTCCTTTCTACCTTGGTGGATACTTTGCCATAGATATGTGCGTGGGGAGTCTGATTTTGTTCATGTGGGAGAGGAGTAACAAGAAGAAGGCTACCGACTTTGCACCGGCGGTGGCATCGGGGCTCATCTGCGGGGATTCGTTGTGGAGTGTACCGGCTGCTATTCTGGCACTTGTGAACGTTACTCCTCCTCTTTGCATGAAGTTTTTCAGTGTCAAACAGCTCAATGAGCTCATGAAAGGAAGCTAATGCACTGCGTCGGCCCACACGTGTACATACGGTGCAGCAGCTATCCTATCACTTTATATTTTAGGATTTCATGGTCAGGTTTTTATATTTATCTGTTTTTTGTGGTTGGGAAATTTGGATTTAGTGGTTGCGTGTGTGTGTTTTGTTAGTTTGATTTTATTTTATTTATCTGTTTGTGTTCTTTTAATTATTTATTTACTGGTTGATATTCCATTCTTGTCACAATTATTTTCCTGTTTTTTCATAATGTACTCCTTAATTAATCAATGAAATTTTTATCCTTTTTCTGAAAATCCTTTTTGGGTTTCAATTATTGATTAAGGAATGTATTTTTTACATAATTATAATGATTCATTTTTTAAATGATTGATATTTTAAAAAGTAAATGTTTATAAAATATTAAATGAATTAAAATGGAAAAATCACGTCTTAAAATCTAATATGAGAACTCAATAAAATTAAATCGTTATAAAAAATATTTGAGCTCCAAAATTCGAAAGAAGACTTGTGAAGTATCGTTTTAAAACTTATAAAATGGGAAAGTAATTGAGAGGTAAAAAAGAAAGTCTAAAAAATTATATATAATTGTAGTGACACCATAATGATAATATTTTATTATACTTATAAAATATTTTATAAAATATATATTTGAGCATCGTTGAATAAATAGTTATATGTGAAAGGATAAAAAAAAGTATATGTAAGTTTAAAGTTCTATAGTACATATTAAATCAGCTACTATAAAGTATTAAGAGTTTTTGGGTCGAATAACTCTTTCATTTGTTGTCGAGGAACAATAAAAAGAATTTTACCTATTTATTTATCGTAGTTAAGACGTTAACATATCAACAGTTCCATTATATTTGTTGGATTAACAACAATCCAATGCGAAAACAATTCAAATATTTTATAGATTCACAATTTATTTCCATGATGATTCACACACGTTGCAACAAAGGACATTCAATTCCACTGCAGAATTTTGTCTTACAGTTTGTGTATAAACATGAAACAAGAATAAAAAGAAAGAATTAATAAAATAAAAAATATTCGATTAAATAATCTGAATAAAATACATAAATAAATATACGAAGAGATATAAGTTGAGGCCTACAGCTAAGAAGTTTTCTTAAGGATTTTCGGCTTCTCTTTTGGTGTTTGAGATCGTTGTTCGTCTGTCTCCCAGGATACAACAATTAGATGATCAACTACAGTTGCATTGCTACAGAGATCATGAACTATTTATTGTCTTCGTCTATCACCAAAAACTAGAGGAGAATAAAACTTTTTGAATAGTATTTGAGTTGTTTGAATTCTGTTTAACCTAGTAGGTTTACACAATATTTGTAAGGATTTCAAATTGTGAACAATCGAAAATTTTTGACCTGATGAAGCATTAACGAGAATCAAACAATCAAGAAATTTCCAAAAGTACTGTTTTGATTAAAGGAACCTTTTAATATGTATCCTTTTAATTCCAAAACAAATTTTGAAAATATATGCTCTATTTGAGGAAAAATATTTCATATTTGGGTTAAAATATCGCAAGTCTGCAAAGAGCATGACCAGTTCGGACATTCACGTTCCCACATCATGCATATCTGCACATGTACGAACCAACAATTGGTTCCACGTTTTCCTGAACAACGTTTGGATCAATTTCTCATTCAAAACTCCAAAAATATCGGTTTTTTCCAACAATCCCCCACATGAATAAAATTGATTATTTTATCAAAAACATTTTGACCCAATGTGGTGATAAACTTTAAAATTGATAGTTGCATAGAATAGGTAGGTTTCCTCCTTTGAACCTTTCATTGAGATAGCATATTTACTTTATTGGCTGACCAGTAGACGTGATGTCCTTGAACTATTATGTTGTTTGTGTAAACGATGATATACTTCACACAACCACCTTTCAGACAAGAATTTTAGTTCTCATGGGTATGTCCATAAAGCCATGAACATCGTTTGGTTCTGCAAGAGTTTGAAAGAACCATGTTCGATAGTGTTGAAAACACTTTGATATTTTGATATATAAAAAATTGTTAAATAGTTTTTTTTTACAAATTTTAAGATTATATTCGTTCAGTCATTCGAATATATAAATTATTCTTTGAAGTTAAAATGTCACTTTTACTCCGCACTCTAATGAAAAATTGAGTCATATAATGAAAATATTTTTGAAATAATTTTTACTAAGAGCTTCGAACTTCAATCGAGTCAAAAATATTTTTTAAGCATAGTAGTATGATACTACTAGAATAGTACCAATATTGTTCAAGAAGTATTGATACAGATATCGACGCTGAAGCCCAAAATGATGAAGTAGTACCGATACTACTATGGCAGTACCGATACTGTATACAACTGTGTCAAAACAGAATACTAAAATGGTATCGATACTATATACAATATTGATACTACTTAGTATAGTAGTATCGGTACTCCTAGATTTGGTACCGATACTACCTTTTGGTTTTGAATCCATCAAAATTCCAGTATACTAAAATGGTAACGTTACTATATACAGTATCGATACTACTGAATATAGTAGTACCGATACCCTTGTGCCAGTATCGATGTTAGAGTTTCCCAACGTTCAATTTTTTGTATTTAATGCAGGGAGTATTGATACTGAGAGACCGAGTACCGATACTACAAGCTTTTGGACAATATTTAATGCAAGAAACTACCTCCCAACGGCTCTATTCACTCCCACAACAAGTCAATTCACTCCCACAACAACTCAAACGGTTGGAATTGATTAAGTATAAAAACAAGATCCCAAGTCATTTGTAAAGACAAAAGTCAAAAAAGAAAGCCAAAAGAAATAAATTTGAGCCAAATCAAGTCAACATTTTTTAATATTCCTTTTGTTCTCAAAGAACACTTCTTGTACTCATTTGTATTCATTTCTCAATTGTTCTTATTTGTTATTGAATTGTGCAAACACATTCCTAGTGAGGATTTTATAAGTTTACAATTTGTAATTTTCTATTTGAGAGAGTGTCTCAAGAATTTAGGGTATAATTCTTGAGGGAGTTATAAGGTTACAACTTATCCTCAAAGGTAGATACAAATTAATGAATTTGTGGAAATCCTTAGTGTGGATAGCTAAGGTAGTGGATGTAGACTTTATTTGATAAAGTCGAACCACTCTAAATTCTTATGTTCAATTTTTATATTTTTTCTCTCAAGCTTCCACCAAAATTTTTAATTGTCAATTCACCCCCTCTTGGCTATTTTATCCATCTGATTGACTCAACAGATAGTCTCCTTGAAGCAATCCCACTTCACTATCACATAAGTGACTTATGTTGATCGACTCATCAAAGCTGGCAATGATAATTAAAAGCTTTGCTTAACATATACCAATTTGATCATTGTTTACATCATACGAATAGACTTGGAATAAGAAGCCCCTACAGTAGCCACACACGGTTTATGCAATTAGGTTGCCCATTTGAACCTAGATCTTGGGATCTCCAGTCAACTAGGTAGGGTTTTCCTTCACATAACACCTTTAAATTTTATGGGCTTTAGTCATGTCGACACCGTTTTTCGCCCGGGCTGGGAAAGACCGATACCGACTCGGGGGTTTTCTCTTTGAAAATCATTTTGAAATGTGAGGAGTTGCCACCAATCATTTAAGGTGAGATTGGAACACCGTAAAAACTGGGTGATTTTAATAAAACATTTCATTTTAATAAAATACCGAGTTTAGGGTCTACAAAAGTCCAGAAATTAGGTTCGGGAGTCAGTTACGCGCGGGGAAGAATTAGCACCCCCACAAGCGCCCAAAAATTGGTACCTAGTTGGTTACCCTATATCTAAAATCGGAAATTTTAAGTTCGATCTTTTTTTAATTTAAAAATCATTAAGGATGCAGAGTTTGAAAAGGGTATTCCTTTATTGAGACCGATAACATTCGCCCCCGAGCGTAAATGCGGGAGATCAGTTATTGTGCCTAATAACCGAACATTGCATCGTTTTTAGAAAACATGATGTGGTTTTAAAAGGATGTCGACTTATTTAGAGAATTACCAGTAGTCACACCCCGAGCACGATCGCGGAGGATATACTGTTAACTCCTTAATATGAACATTGCCCTTAAGTTTTAAAAACAATCCAATAAAGTAAAATTTTATTTAATCCTAATTATACTAAAAATAAATTAAGGCTTTTTCTAACTTACGGTGACAAATTATGAAAATTAAAGAACATAGGGGCTTAAATCTAAAGGTGTAGACTCTAATATTAATCCTATTTAATTTTAATCAATTATTGACTTGAATAACCGAGATGGTCCCTCGAGCATTTACGCGAGGGCCAACTCGAATTATCCCCTAAATTAAATAACTAGTTTGAAATCTAAGCTAAAATGGAAGTTCTATTTAACCTATTTAATTATGTCAATATAAACATTAATCGAAATTAAAGAAATTCGGGACTAAAATGTAAAAGATCTAAATCTGAGGACTAACTCTAAAAAAACTAAGTTTAAAGATTAAACCTAAAATCTAAATATATTTAATAGGGACTAAATTAAAGAAATAAGCACTAAATTATAAATTACAATAAATTTAAAATTATAAAAATAAACAAATAATTTCTAATTTATGAAATATAAAAAAAACATATTCAAGTTAAAATAAACAAATAATAATAATGATTAAAATGGAGTAAACATAAAAAACATATTAAAATAAAAACAAACAAAAAAGAAAGGTCCAATGACCAAAACAAAAACACGAAAAATATAGGGGGCCTAAACTAAAATAACTCATAAATTTATTCCTAACTACTTAATGAAAATAAAAATGTAAAATAGCAACACAAAGACATGTATTTCGAATTAAAGCTAAAAGAAAGACAAATCGGATTACCAAATTGGAAGAAAGCAAAACAGGGAATCATAGAAGATAATACATGAAACTTCAAGGATGCATATGCTGATTTGACCCAAAAAAATCCCCAAAGCACAAATACTATTGTTCACACGTGAAATCTCATTCTCCCCTTCTGTTTTCTTTTTCAATCGTACTCCTCATTTCTTCTCTCCATTTCTTTTCCATTTTATTCTCTTACATTTCAATCTTTAAAGCAAAATCTATTTCCAGATTTAAACCCAAAAAATGAATCCATTTTAT